CCACCTCCTTGCCTAGACCCGACTGTCCTAACCTGCCTGGAAGCCTTTCACAGGAGCAGAGCTCTCCCAGCTAACCTGCAACAACAGGAGCTTCTAGGTACCCTCAACGTGAGAGAAGACCCCCACGGCGTTACCAGGACTACGTTCCACAGGGTGGAAGGGATGTTGTGTATGCAGCAGATCGGGCAAGTGTGAGCGATAGCAGCGCCATCCTCCAGTAGGCGGACGCGGAAGGACTCACTGTTCGCCATTCCGTTCTCTACCTCTTCGACTCTTGTACGCGGCCAAATTCGGCCTTCTAAATAAACCCGTGTTATGCATACCTAACAACTCTCATTGCCCCTGCCCATTGGCACGCACACCGATTTTTTTTATCAACGCCGCGCAGCGATTGCAAGTGATAGCGCTAGACTTGGATAGTCACCGTAGAGGCAGATTATCACATACTCGTGGGCCACAGTTTTTAACTGTTTACGTCCTCATCTGGCTTACATAAATTAGTAATTACCTTTCTCGTGCACATCGGGTAGGTTCGAAACGCTTTGTAGCGTCTAAGAGTTTGTCATTGCGCAGCGGCTAAGTGCGGCTAAAGATGGCATTTCCATGCATCCACCGAAAAAGGACACAACCGAGTAAAAACGATGGATGCTTGTTATGTGAGATAAACAAGCTATATCACAATGATCTCCCGGAATAATAGCCTCTCAGTTACGAACTCAGAGAGCTCCCGACCACCTACCAAATTTCTCTATCCTGTCGGCTTTTCTTAATATTTCTCCTGAGTTTGTAAACATGTTTCACCTCATTCCTCAACACCCTCCGGGCTGGACGCCGCATGCGCGCAAAGCTTTCGCCATCGAAGGCGCCTTGTCGAATGTGGGAGCTCGTAGATTTTCGCCTCTTCTACGTACTCCCGAATCCCGGCTCAAGCTCACCCGTCCCCCCCCCTCCCCCACCCCCTATCCTTCTCCTAATGATGGCCTTTAAGCGCCGCGGTAGTCCCTCCTGCCTATGTTTTGTCCGTGGGTCTGAAGCACCACCTTCTGGATTTCCAGCTTCCACACAGGGGAAGCAGACACTCGCCGACCTCGTTTTGTCGGGCTCCATTAATATCTCTGTCCCATCTGTCCTCGCTCTGAACCTGTCGTCAGTCAGTCTTACAAGTCCTGCCTGCCATTTTTTTGTGTTTTTGACTTTTCAAGTAAGCCTCTCCGTCGCCCCGGTGCTTTTTGTGTTTGGCGGAGGTTAGGAGGGCGGTAGGTCAGCATGTATAGAAGCGTCATTTCACTCTAATTTTCATTTTCATCTTTATTTAACTTATTTCGGCTCAGGAGAGACGGGGTGCAGCAGATAGGCCGAAGGCCCTTGCCAGGTGAACTGCAAACACCCAAACTAGGAACAAAAAAAGAAAAAAGGGGATTGGGGGGGGGGGGGGGGCGTACAAGCACAGCCTGCCCCCCCTCATGCGGGGGACAAATCGAAGTGTTTAAACTATCTTCCCGGCTCCCCCATAGATTTTTTTTTTTTTTTTGGGGGGGGGGGGGGGGGGCGTGGGGCAGGTATGTGGCTTCTTACCCGCCATATTTGTTTGTTGTGTAACATGCATGTTTTGTTGTCTCTTGTTTTTTTTTGTGCTACAGATAGATGGTTATTTCTGATTTGTGTACCAGCCCCCTCAGACTCAACTAGGCATGTATAATGATGACACCTGTCTATAGTTGTGTGTGTGTGCCTTCAGCACAAGTAAATTGGTTTTGTGTAATGATGAGAACCAGAGTGGTGTTAGCTTTTCTCTGTAGACAATTGTATTGTTTTGTGCTTAGGCGTAGACTACGAGGGGGGGGGGCAGCGGAGATCATGCCCCCCCCCCCCCCCCTCTGGTGAGATCCAGGGGGGGAGAGCCCCACCCCGGGCCATGATCTTTACCGAGCATACCGAGACGCTGTTCACGTGCCATGTAACGAGCTTCTATAAGTGACATGTAAACAAAATAACGCCCACGTTGCCTTTATTGACAAATGAATGGGAAATGGAATGCCAGCGTGCTTTCGTTAGCTTCAATTTCCAGTTCTGGCGAGAAGGTAACGCGGCATTCATCACTTTTACGTCCGCTTGGTCTTTTTCCTTAGCAGCCTGCCATCTTGCGATTTCCCACAAAAAAGAAAAAAAAAGAAACGGAAGTTTATATAGAGGGCGCCTACTCCATTCGGAGCTGTTCAAAAAGTCCGTTCAGTAGCGACTCCGAAGGAGTCGCTGCTAAAGATATCAGATTTTTGCTCGCCAGCGCGTGCACCGTAATACCGGCGATGAATACAAAGCTGCGCTCGCACGGTGATTGACATTGACACACAGCGACAGACACATGGCGATATACATATACTGTAAAATGTACCCCCTAAAATAAGGTATTGCTAATTGCCGGTGTAAAAAAAAAATGCGCAGAAAAGCACCCCCCCCCCCCCCCCCCCCCCCCACCCGGGGAAAATGGAGTCTACGCCGCTGGTTTTGTGTATGAATGCTTTGTCGTTTTCCCACACTTGGATGCATCACGGTGATTGTGAGAAAAAGGTTAAGCTTCCTTAAAAAGCGAACGAGTTAGATCCTTCCAATAAAAAGTTGGCCCCAGCAGGAAATAGAAAGACGCACAGCGGTGGCGCAGCGGTGGCCAAGGGCGGGGGAGGCATAAAAATACCTTTTCGTGGGATTTTTGAGCGACTTTGAGGAGGAAAGTGCTGCAAAAGTTACTGCATCTTAGCCTCCCTTTGTCCATTTGAGAGGGTTCCCGAAAAGCGAGCAACGCCCTTCACGTCTGGTCATAGCGGGGCGCCGAAAGCTGAAATATTTTCCAGTCTGATTGCGGCTTGCGAATCCCTGAATGCGTCACCGGTGACGTCATATCACTAAAGAAAATATTCGTGTTTTGGCGCCCCACAAGTTCCGTATATAGGTTTACAAAAATAATTCCCCTGGCAGGACGACGCTCCTACTTCCTTAAAAAATATAAGTTTAGCTTAATTTTTAGCAAAACATGTGCTTTCTTGTGAGGCCTCTCAAAATATTACATCGCGAAGAAAATCAGAAATCAGCATTAAATTGGCGTTTCAATGATTTTCGGACTTCAACCAATTAACTGCGGAAATTAATCTGTATCACCTATGGAACGAACAGCAGAAAACCGTACTTTCTTAAAAGCGCTGGTTTTACTAAAAAAAAAAAAATAATGAAACAAATTGACGGTCGAAGGGCTTCTCAAAACTTCAAATGGCCTTTCGAGTGACGTACTCTGAGGGATCACATTATTTCCTCATGGGTTACCTCTTCAGAGACACCACCGGGTTCCTCCGCGATGGTCAAATTTAAAGGGTTAGCATCGTCAAAGGTCGGGGCGAGCGATCGACACAGAAGACGGTTCGGACGGAGCGGGACAGGCTTCTGTTGATTTCCGCCTATCCCCCAGCAACGCTGTCACTGTAATTACCGTTACCACCACATGCAACTGCAGATCGGGAAAACATTTTTTTTGTTGCAATTATTCAACGAAATAGCAGATTATCAGGACAAGGTGATGCGTTTTTGGTCACTTGAGCTTGGGTAAACACTATACAAAAATACAAACTGCCAATTATTTCAACATTAAAATCGTTGCACTACCCCATTGATTCCTCATACTGAATATTTTTGTTCGCGTTGCGCTCAATAACGAGAAGACCGATGCAGGCACATGATCTCACCACACCGCCGTGTTCTTACACACGATAAAGTCCGGCTGCTATGGCCACCGTCACCATGGCCACGAAGCGTTTTCTTTATGGGTGCACAAACGAGCCCAGGGTCCAAAGCCAGCACAAACTCACGCCATTTGCCGAATATCGTCTGCTAAAGCCAACACGCAATGCTAGCCAAAACCGGACGCGGCGGTCGACGCTGAGGGCAGGAGGCGGTCACCTGCCGAACCTTTGAGGGTTCCTGCGAGGCTTGGCGCAAGCTCGGGCTTAGATTATGCGAAGCGCGAGTTCGGCTGCTTCTTGCGCAGGTATTGCGGTGACGTCAGAACGCCGAGTTCTCATTAGCTCTGATTGGAAGAACTGGGGGAAGACCTCAATGCTAAATGCCTTGAGTCTACCCCCTATTCTTCCAACACACCAATCAGAGCTCGTCGTTTTGATGCCGTTGCCATCCCTGGGCAAGAAGCAGACAAACTTGCGCTTAGCATAACCCATTTTCCCGAGCCGAGCGGAGCGTGGTTTGATCGTGCTTAGTGCGGTCTGCTTGGAAGCTTAATTTGGAGTCCTATTACTTGCGTTGGCTGGTTCTCGTTGCTACGATAAATAGTACAAGCATTATATTCTTCCATGGGCGTACCAACCGTCGGGCAAGGGGGCGCTTGCCCCCCCAGTTCTCAGAGTGTGGGGGGGGGGGGGGGGGTAAGGCATATGTTTCGCCCCCCCCCCCCCCCCCCCCCGAAACAGCCGTCACTGGGCTGGGCAAACACTGGCCGGCGGCTACCAAGGGATACCAATCGGCCCTGGGGGGGGGGGGGGGGGGGGGGGGTGGAGGGGGGGCGGTCGGGTGTGGTTTGCTTCCCCACTCAAAAACAAGTTGCTCCGCCACAATATTCTTATATTGAAAGTTTGATTTAAAAATTAAGGTTAGCTTTGGAAGCACACCTTACTTAAAGTGTGTCTCGCAGCATAAATATTTCTCTAGGTTGGTTTCGTCCGAGAGGAAATGATTCAGTGTCATAAATGTTCTATTATTCCTAGCCCAGAACCTAAAGCTAAATGTCTAATGGTTTTGATCTCCTTTAAGTGAAAGTAAGTATGACTTGGTGCGAGTAGTTGTGAAGCATAAAAGTCGAGTATATGATCCGCTTTTGACATATGCGGTGAGTCTTTATAGTGTTAAAAGTATTACTTATTACCCTATATAAACGGAGAGGATCGACCTGGAGTCTATTACCACTGCTCGCCCTGACTACTTCGCTCATGGTATCAACGCAGTTGGTGGTGAGCGCATTGATGCGTGGCTATGGTGCCACAGGCAGCAAGATCGACGAGACAGGTGTGTGGAAGCCCTGGTGGACGGATTCCACGCGTGAGCGGTATACGAGGATACTCGACTGCCTGCGGACGTCTGAAAGTGAGGTAAGAGGATGTCAATCTAAAGGCCGGTTTGCAAACATGTGTCCATAGCGACCGCAACGACGGGAACGACCGAAACGACCATTGCAAGGGTCTGCAACCGTCAGTTGCCATAGCGACGGAAGGATGCACGCACGTGTCGTTCACGTCGCCAGGAGTTGGAGCAACACCTCCTAGAAGAGAAGGCCGTAGCGCTCTGAGTGGGAACGTCGCAATGGCGGAGGAAGGAAGGCCATGGCGCAACTACGTAAGAAAAAGCCGCTGTCGACGCGTATCGGCGTACTAATGTTCGTGCGCGTTTATCTGAGATTAATACACGTTTTAAAATCGCAGTCGTGTACAATTTATTATATATATAATATAAACGCGATATACAACGCGTTACCAAGGTTGAAAGTACCGAATTTATCGTTTTGATTATCCCCGTAACCGTGGGATTAAGCGCAGTCCCGCATCTCCCCACACTTTTCGAATGAACTGGCTCCGAATTTCCGATGCGACATCTTCCCTCGTACGGGCTCTGATTCTGGTAAATTTACGTTGCGTGTGAGCTGCTGACTGCATGCAAAGGTACGCTGAGACATTTCAGAAGGGAAAGGAACCGAAAAAAAAATCCATTCATCGCCGCTAGGAGGGAGCGCACACGAGGAAGAGATGGGTCGACAATGTTAAGCCTCTCGTCCCACACTGCTCGTGCTGCTCTCGTGTGTGTGTGTGTGTGGTTTTGTCCTACCCATCGTTTTTTTTTTATCGTCACCGCAGTCTTGGGTATAGACATTTGTTTGTGTGTGTGTTCGCTTGACACTACCGCATTTACGTGGATTCGCGAAACAAAGTCCTGCTACGGTTTGACTGACGTGTGTGGCAACTAGTCAACGATGACACTGGTCGATGACCTCTCTCGACAGAGAGAGACTTCTTGTAGTTCGTGTTAAACTTTTTTTAGTAATGCATCGCATGGGACGTATGGATACGATCGACAGGTGAGGAACAACTTATTTACGGGCTTTCTTTGTCATGTAAGACGCAAGTAAAATGCTCCAGTCGATTTTTTTAAAATATTGTGATAGAATGGAGTTTTGTTCTCTCATTACCCGTTTGCTATTGCGTCGACATTTATAATTATGCCTGGTATAATTCTAGTTTTTACTCGAAGGTAAATAACAAGTTTGTGTGATTATTTAAAGTGCGTTGTTTGTGGTTATGCGTTTATTTATACTAATGTTATTTTGTTGCCTTTACCGCGTTTATACTAGAATCTTAACTGTATTAAAGGGATACTGAACCAAAGAATTTAGTGCCCATAATAAGTGGCGCACGTTCTTTTCACCAGCCAGCAGCCGCCGGTGTGCGGGAGCACATGCAACAAAAATGACGTCACAGACCTCCATTCGCGGTTGAGATGTCAGTGAAATGCATGGGCTTCGGACTAAAGGAGAATAAAGACAGGCTTTTCATCTCTACAAGTGAAAGCTAGGTGCTTGTTAGACCAATTCATCGCTTACTTTTTACACCAGGCACCACTGTGTAAATGAAAAACTTGTCTTTATTCTCCTTTGGTCCGAAGCCCATACATTTCACTGTCATCTCAACCACGAATGGAGGTCTGTGACGTCATTTTTGTTGCCTGTGCTCGCGCACACCGGCGGCTGCTGGCTCGTGGAAAGAACGTGCGCCACTTATTATGGACACCAAATTCCTTGGTTCAGTATCCCTTTAAGGTAATAGTATTATTGTATACAGAATAGGTTATATTTTGTTCTTAGGCTTATCGAGCCCATAGGGAGAATTAAATTAGTTGACTGTAAATGGTAAGCTTGGTACCCCTGCCACACGGAAACGTTAATATATTTTGATTAAATAATACGGGATTTAATTAGCTCGGTGTTTTGAGTGATTATATGAGCGTCGCAAGCTGATTTGTCGGCCCCATATTTTCATTCGATCGAAATGACATTACTTTTGCCATGTGGCCGGGGCATGATGCAAGAATTCAGTGACTGCACGCGATAACATCGCTTACATGACCGTAAGTGACATTCCTCTAGCCGTGTCCGCGTTGACTACGTCTACCTGATTTTTCAATGTGACCTGTTTTGCTGTGTCCAATCGCTGCGTGTCTTGCCATTTTATCGAAGTATTTCTGTGTAAAATATGCATTCCTGCAGCAATAATTGCGTGAATCAATGTTTTCTCTTATACGCCTTCCTCGTACCATTCCATACCCATCACTTAGAGTTAGTGGTGTAATATTTTGCCCGTGTAATGAAATGTTTTCGAGACCTGTTGCTATGTGCAGCTATCAATTTAGCTAATAAGACACGCTTATGTGACTAAAAGCACGTTACGACGATCGATCCACGCGCGTTGCCTTCGCTTCGCTGCGCGCCCCCGATGGCCTTCCCTCGCGACGTCACGAGTAGAGCGCTACGGCCTTCTCTTCTAGGAGGTGCTGGTTGGAGCGAGCCCAACTTTTTCCGCTGCGTTGGAAATAACCGAAACAACCGCAACGACAGACAAATCGCAGGTCGAGGAGAACTGGTCGCGCGCGTTGCATGACGGTCGTGCCGGGCTCCTTTATCTGCCAACATGGCGTCGGTGGTGATCGTCGACGTAGACGGCGTGGTGAAAGCTCATCGTTCCGCGGAAAGTGCTATCCTTGACTGTGAATTTTCGTCGTGTGTCGCTATGGTAACCCAGCACGTACTTGGAGGGAAAATTTACCTACTCGTGCGGCGATGTCGTGGCGGCACTCTCAAGACAGCAGAAACGCCCATGCCGTCGTTTTTTTTTTACTTCGACTACAGTGATACTTTCTAAGCATTTGTGTCCTCGAACATCGCCCGGATTTCTTATTTGGCGCATTTCATGCGTGTGCTGGTATTACTGGCGCGTACCGTATAAAGGGTGCGAATTTTCACGCGTTGTCATCACCGGAGAAAAGTGATTAATGTTAGCAATCCTGAACGCTCGCAACGTGTATCTGATCACAAAATCATATTTTTACTTTGCTATATAGCTGATAAGATTAAGTCGTCTATTATAATTGTAGAAAAGGCGTGTGGTGTGATTTATACTATTGGCAAAGTCGTTTATTAGAGTCTTGATCGTCCAAGACGGCGTACGGCATATTTTTTTCTTTTCTTCGTCCACTGTACCCTGCAAGCCTATCATGAAAAAAAAAAAATAATAAAGCTTTAGCCTATTGAGAACTGCCTGTTTATATTATTTTACGGCATTGAGTAACAGTGCGTCCCCTTTTTAGAGGCACCGCTGAAACAGCTGACAGCGGCGTAAAAGCGGTCGCCGTGCTGACGACCTGCTGCGCTTGGTGCAGTGGTTGCAGGTGTGTGTACGCGCGGCGCAGAGCGGTCGTTCCGGTCGCTCCGGTGGCAACGGACGCAGTCGCATGCAACCGACGTGTGTGAACGAGCCTTAAGGCAGAGATAGCAAAATTATTTTTCAAGAGTAATTAAATTACATTATTCATTACTTTCCTCAGAAATGCGCAATTGTAAATAAATAACATTACAAATTAACGCAGATTAGATTTAATTGCATTACATCACAATTACTTTTTAAATGTTATGAAGTTACCGCGAAATTACCCTTAAATTCCTTTAGGCAGTAATTCGTGCCCGTGATGATGGAATTATTAAACGCCATGTAAAGCGTCCTAAGATAGGATTAAAACACAGTTCACCGGTTTCGCTGTTCGTTCAACAATGAACTTGATCGGTTAATTGCTGATGTGATTGCGTCCTCCTAATTTTGGAAAAGTCGTCCACTTCGGTTGCTCGAGCCACGTCAGCTCGTTTTTACATGAAGTTGTAACGACTGTTGTGAGATGTTCTAAACTGACCTTTATGGGGCCTTAGCTCCATTGTGCCCGAATGTATTTTGCACAACGAATCGAATGCAGTGGAATCGTTTTTTCTCAAGGGCTGCGGTCGGTGCATTCTCGGACATTCTTCTCGATGGGTATTGTTCCATGACACCAGGAGAGCGCAAATTATCGTGCGTTGTCACGCATGGGGGCCGAATGTTTTCTAGGGAGAAGCGCTATCAGATGAGGAAAAGGGTGAAGGCCGCCTCCGGAAATGTGTCCTTTCCCGACAAAACCGCGGTTCTATCTGCGCGTTTGCTTTTCCCTGACTTAACTTCCCCGGTGAGGCTGCTTTGCTCGCGTTTTGCAGTTTACAGCTATATTTCTTTCACCCCTAAGCTGATAGTGCAGTGGTAGCAACGCGCTCGTCAGAGCAGACAACCGCCTCCCTTTCACCACCTGACTTCGCTCTCTGCGCGTGGCTGTTGGCGGGGCGTAATCAAGCGGCAAAGGATCGACGCAAGACTGCTTCAACACTCTAAAAAAAGCCCGTGAGTCTGCTTTCCTGCATAACACTCGGAGAGCCAATCACCGCAACTTACGGAGGCAGCTCAGCGAATGACAATGCCGAAACATATGCTTAGACAAAAAAAAAAAAAAAAAAAAAAAAACGCAGTCTGAGTTGTGACATTAAGCGATGCAAGCGTGAGGTTTGCATTGCTGTCACAACTCAAACTGCGTTTTTTGGTCTAAACATATGTTTCGGCATGGTCATTGGCTGAGCTGCCTCTATAGGTTGCGGTGATTGGCTCTCCGAGCGTTGTGCGCGAAAGTAGACGCGCAAACTTTTTTTAGAGTGAACGAGTGTGCAGGCTTCCACCGCACTGTCGGCTTAGGAGTGAACGGGGCACGAAGCATAAAAAAATCACCTATACCCACGAAGAACAAGGCAACTCACGAGAAGTTTTGGATTCCTTGGCAAAATATTTAGGATTATCTCCCGATTCCTGGTGACAGGTTTTAAAATGTGTTGATCTTCGTAGTGACGTGACCTCCATATTGTAGCCTGGAACGTCTCCCGATTACTTTTCGCCGTGAATCCGTACTGACTGGAGTTTTGTGAACTGTGGCCTTCCAACTATGTGTTCACTCAAAAGCCTTTCTTCATCCGTTTCGC